TATCAGGTTCCGCCGCCTAGTCTCCAGCCTGGCGTTCCTGTACCAAAGGTGCCATTCGTGCTCCGTGCCGCTCTTCCTCCTCAAGAGGGTAGGTGTTTTTTAAACCGTCGCTTATTCTATATTAATGACTTTTTTTTAGCATCGGCTCGACAGCCAAATTTCCTCGATGACTACATTGATTCCTATACCGAAGATTTTCCACGTTCTGTCGTGCAAGAATCGCCACCCAATAAGGACGTGGAACGCGTGGTATTGTGGCCTCAGGGAAGTTCACAGTCAAGTCCAGGGACTATGGTTACTGGTTCGATGATTCAGCGGATACCCTCACGTAATGAGCTCGCCAACAAGGGACCCTTGAACTCTGAGACGCCAATCGCTGTCAATATCTCCCGCGTCGGTGGGGGAAGCATGCGTCGGAAACCAAACAGACGAACGACGCAGAGGCGGCCGAAGGTAGCGTACGAGGAAGAGGAGGGGTATGTGAGTGAGGAGTATGATGATTCCTATGAATTGTCAAATATCCGTGTGAAGGTCCGTTCTATCGTATTCTTGGGTGATTTCAAGTGGTTCACCGCGTTTGTTGCAGTTGCATTACCAAGGCGATGTACGTGGAATGATGCTGACGCCCTACACGTCATTCGAAGAATTCGTCGAGCGCGTGACGAGCAAGTTTGGCACTACTATGGATGGTCTGGGTCTCAAATTCAAAGATGAAGATGATGTGAAAGTGACCTTGAGAGACGGTAGTGATTATGAGCTTGCCATCGAGACTTCACGAGCGAACCTGAAGGGGAGGAGTGAGGGGAAATTGGAGATTTGGTGCACGGATATGTGAGACTCTCACTTGCGTATTATCTCTCTGCGGATGAATTTATCTACATTTTGGAGGACGTGTGTCGTATTCTTAAATAATGCTTCGCCCTATTACTGTTGTACAACAATATTATCCTGGTTGATAATCGGATAGGAGCTTGTCTCGACTTGCAATGCTCAGTTCGGTGTTTCAAAATATTGGAACTTGGGTCTACTAATACTATGGCTCATAATTATTCTCTCCTCTTGAGTTGCTGACACGTATACTGTGCTTGCTCATTGTCATTCATTGGACACGTATTATTATCGCCCAACTACACTGAGTTTTTTTACAGAGCAAGGATAATTCCCACTCGAACTGAACAGACTGTCATTCCGAGTCACTTATGGTTGTTCCTCTCATTGGTCGTCTTAAGGGGCACGAATACGCAGCCCTTGTTGGGGGCTTCTTCTTCCTGGTCTTCGAGACTGCTATCAGCTTCATCATTATGCTCCTCCCCATCCCCATCATCCAGTGGTTCCACAACCACTCACGGACCCTCTTTCACCGTTTCTCCGTAACCCATGCAAATGGCAAGTCCGAGGCCGAAGATGTTGCTGATGCTATACGGAAGGCGAAGGATTTCGGAGAGCTATGTCAGTATTGGGGTTACACGCATGAGGAACATGTCGTTTTGACAAAGGATGGATATTTATTGGGTTTGCATAGGCTCCCGGCGAAGAGGGGGCAGAGGAAGCGAAGTCCTGGGACGAGCACGGGAAAGCCAGTGGTGTATTTACATCATGGGTTGCTCATGAACAGCGAAGTATGGGTCTGTTTGACAAATGCTGAGAGGTGTTTGCCATTTGTCCTCGCTGAGCAAGGTGCGTATCATTACAATATTTATGTCACCGGAGACATCGTGATGCTGAGGAGTTGATGATAGGCTTTGATGTATGGATGGGCAACAACAGGGGGAACAAATACTCCAAGAAGTCGGTTCATCATGATCCGAATTCGGTCAAGTTTTGGAACTACAGTCTTGACGACTTTGCTTGGCATGATATTCCTGATTCTATTCAGTATATCCTAGATATCACGAAGTCGAGCACCTTGAGTTATGTTGGTTTCAGCCAGGGCACCGCGCAGGCATTCGCCGCACTCAGCATTCATCCACAGTTGAATGCGAAGGTGAACGTCTTCATTGCACTTGCACCTGCTATGAGCCCAAGAGGATTGGCAGCTCCTCTTGTTGATGGCCTCATGAAGGCTTCGTGAGTACATTACCTGACTACCATTGTCTGCCCTTAACACTAGCACATCACAGCCCAACATTGGTGTATCTATTCTTCGGACGCAGAGCCATTCTATCTTCTGCAACGACATGGCAAGCTATCCTATACCCACCCATCTTCACAAGCGTCATCGACACTTCCTTGCGTTTCCTCTTCAACTGGCACAGTCATAATATCCCATATCTCCAGAAAATTGCTGCGTATGCCCATCTCTACTCATTAGCGTCTGTCAAGTCCGTGGTGCACTGGTTCCAGATCATGCGCGAGGGTGCATTTCAGATGTATGATGATGATGTCAGCGCATTTGGCTCTCCAGGTGGGCGTGCGTACAGACCTGCGAGGTTCCCAACGAAGAATATTGTCACACCGATCGTGCTGTTGTATGGGGACAAGGATAGCCTTGTTGACATACAGATGATGCTCAAAGAACTCCCAGACCATACGACTGTCACTCGCCTGGATGGATATGAGCATTTGGACATCCTTTGGGGAAAGGACATTGATAAGGATGTTATTCCAGAGGTTGTGAACGCCTTGAAGGTGTACTGCGACGACTCTTGCGGGAGTCCGGACAAGTTCAAGGATGGGTTCAAAGTGTTTGAGAGATCATCATAGAGGCACGCAACGAGAGGACCTTGGACCTTTATATTCATTGATGGCAGATAGTGGACCTTGTTTTCTGTGTTCCTTCATATATACATACAAATATTTTTGATAATGTAGTACCGGTTGATGGTAATGGTATATATGAGATCTAGACGGTATAATGGCGACCTTTGAGAGGTCATGAATCATCATCGGCTAGCTCTGTGCGCTTTTTAGATTTTTTGGACCGGTTTTCACTTTCCTCTTGATTATCAGACTTTGATTTTCTTTTCTTCTTGTCGTCTTTCCGCCTCTTCTTCTTAGTCTCTAAGTCTTCTTCCACAACAGCCGATGGAGCAAGATCATATGATTCCGCACATTTCGCTTTCCGTTCCTCTTTCCGTTTCTTCTTCTCCGCCTTGGCATCGTTGTTAGGCATCTCGACTCCTGCCCCCGCAGGCACATCAACTACCTCTGCGTCGCACTTTTTCCTTGCTTCTTTTCTCTGCGCTTTGCGTCGCTGTTTCTCGGTCATTTCTTCGTCCCTAGAATTGTCTGTGGAAGATGTCATCGTCCGTTCGGGAGGTTGAATTATGGCCTGTATAGCGGAAGATGCCATCTGAACAACCGTGGCATGTGATGAAGAGGATGTATTGAAGAACTGGGCGACCACGTTCGAAGAGCCACCTTCTCCAAAGCTGCGGCCTGCACCGAGTCCAATTCGCGGTTGATCTACGTCGTCTCGAGAAGGGGCGCTAGAGCCAATCCCTCTCCGAGAAGTGCTGCCATCGTCATTCGCAGCTGGGGTATTGGAGCCAGATTTCGCTCCAAGTTTTTCCTTAAAATAGTCTGCAACACTCTTCGTCGATGTTGTGAGCTTCTCGAGGGGGAGGTCGCTGTCTGCAGATGTGATTGGGGTCAGAGAACCAGAGGGGGTTGTGGAGGAAACGGATGAAGGAGTCGGTGCGATCCCCAGAATTTCAGAGATGGCAGCTGCTGATTTGTTGGCAAGGCGTTTAGCAGCTTGTATGCGAGCACGGTGGCTGGGAGAGGTAGTCAGCATCAAAAGTTGCAGTTATCAGAAATAAACGCACGCCATAGGGCGTCCCTTTTGTCTTGTTTGAAGAATGGATGACACGGTATCTGGGGATGGGGCAGGAGGATCGATATGTGGTGAAGCGGTTTTTGACGAATCTACTGTAGCTGAATCTTCGACATCTTCATCCTGGCGTTTGTCTCTTTTCCGTTTCTTCTTGTCTTTTCCGTCCTCGACATGTCCCCCTTCCTTTCGCTTGCGCTTCTTCTCTTTCTTCGGTGATGGGTTCAGTTCCTTGTCCTCTTCGGAGTGTACGTCTGTTGCAGAATGCTCAGGCCGAACAAATTCTCCTAGGACATGCTTAGAAGCAGAATCTTGACCATCCTGCGCATTAAGCCTCTGCAGCAAAGCCTCAAATTCCTTATTCTGTTTCCACGCGATACCATGCGGGTCTTTCTGATGAGCGGCGCCAATCCCAAGCATATCAAGCTTTTGGGAGACCTTAAGATGTGATTTCATGCCATCACCTGAGGCGCCTAGACCTTTTGAGGGGTCCCAGCCGAGCTTGGACATGTAAGACTGGCCGAAGCGAGCTGCATCTGTGGAGAGGTGAGAATGGTGTTCGGAAGTGAAGTGGTGACTTGCCATCTGCCCAGGATAAGTTTCGTGGGTCATTTGGAATGCGTTGTTTTTCCTTTCTGCCGGCCAGTCCCATTGTCTTGTCGTAGGATAAGTGCTATTAGGCAACCCGCCAACACGTACTACTCGACGGGCTGGAGGACTCTGAAGGATGAGAAATCAAAAATCTAGGGTTCCCGATTTGGCCTTCCACTGCGACCTCTGTCTCAGGCACAAGTCTAAGTTGAGCACACTCTACAGTTTTCCGCACCGAACAAGTTTCGCATATTTGGTCGGATGATGTTCGGTTCAAGTTATCTCGTTCTCATGTATATGCTTGGAGAAGGCTTGGGTGTGCGGGTTATGTCATCTATGCTCCTGATAAGAGACAATACGAAGTTGACGAGGGGTATGAAGTTGATACTGTGCATATGCACATGCTCGCGAATGGTTCTAAAATATTCTTGTACACTTACACTTTTCGTGGACAAAATCAAGAGTTTGTTACTGGTCGAAGGATAAGCTAGTGAGTGAACTGGCATTTGTCCTACAAAGAACGTCATGAATACCCAGTCATACTTGACCAGCTGAGTCGTTCGAAGGAGATGGTTTGATGTCAGTGTCGTCGCCGGCATTACAAGCCTCAGAGACCAAGGAAAGGCAGTGAACCAATCAGCTTTCGGCGCGCTTTTTCTCATTCATGCAGTTCTCGGCACTCACAACTTGGGGAGACGAGTACAGGGCGCAGCACCAGCTGCCACGGCCAAATCCGTCTAAAAAACTGCTGGTCAATTGAAAGCAGTGAACCACCGGTATTCGATAGCGGGAAACCTGTGGTAGATAATAAGACGAAAAATGATAATGCTACAGCTTCATGGAACCCTTCCCTGCGATGCCGCTGGCACCCAGGGTGGTCCACCAATTATTGCTAGCAGTCTTTACTGTAGATTTGGATCTCGTCTGCGGTGTCCGTTTCACTATTGTAGAAAGTCCAGAACTGACGCCCTTCCTCCCTCTACCTGGTGGGGTAGGTTCAGCTGGTTCGCTACTCTCATCAAATTTCCGTTTCTTTGATGCACCAGCTCTAGGTGCGGGCAACGGTTTGAATCCCTTTTCCCACTCTTTTCGGTGTAGCCGGAACACAGCCATCGTTGCCCTAGCGTCTGTGACCTGCCCACATATCACGATGAGAAATTAGCCAGGGGCTAGGGTGTCAGAGGGCTTACACTGGAGTGCTCCCCTCCCTGGATAACAACATCAAGTTCTTGTTTTACAAGGTTGCGAAGAGCAGGGCGTTTACTATTGATTACGTTGTGTTTTGCCGCCAAGCGTTGCGTGTCCCGTATGTATGCACCTGGGTGCGATAGTAATAGAACCTGAGAACGGGTTATCAGTGAGCTACAGGAATGCGGACACACATATTAAAGCTGACCTTGAGATCGTTATGCACGGCATGTCCCACTATGATGCGATCTTTGGTCAAAGCCGCGACTGTTTTCTGCACCTCCTCGAATTGCTTAGCTAAAGATAATATTAGCTCGACCGCAGGGTGTAGAAAGTAAAGTCTACCTACCTTTGACCATATCCGAAGGGCGTATGCCACTCCACTTAGTCCGATAATCTGCAACACGTTCCTTCTGCTTTACGAACTCATCTAGCTGCACTGTGCCCCAATAATTCACAATGCTAACGCGCGCAAGCGACGACTCCTCGCCGTCGATGCCTACGCCCACCATCTCGCAATCGATTGCGAGGTATTTTCCTGGACTAGTCGTCAAAATGAGATTCCATACTGGTTCCCTGTTTGGGCAAAAATGACCCACTCCTTCTGGGCAGACGTATACTCTAGTCGTCCGAAAATCATCTTGCGGAGCGTCGCAAGGGACTCGCCATTTTTAGTTTCTGAGGTGGTGAAGTCGACAGCTAGTTCAGGATCGATAACTGTAGTTGAATTTCCTCTTGGAAAAGCGGAAGTAGACGTGTCTTGTGAGGACACGAGGGCCGCGCCTGGAGATCCGGAGCTCAGCTGTGATCGGTCGAGCTTCCGCCGTTTATGGGGTGGACCACCTTGCTCTGGCTTTTTGCCCTTTCGAAATATCTGCTACAAAAATGAAGATCACGAAGAAAGGCTGCAGTGGAAGACTTACTTTTTTCGCAGCAGATGCACTCATAGCTTGCAAGCTATGTTGTAGTCGCTTATCTCGACCCAGCGTGCGACTTTGCAGCCTGAGAACCCCGCTATAATCACGTCAGTCTGGCACGCCTTCTCAATCTTCCAACATGATTATGTACATAAATAACTGGGTCTTCTGTCGTCCTCCATCGTTTTCAGAGTCCAGACCAATTATCCAAAAATGTCTTACCTCACAACTGTAAATGATTTAGTCGCTGGCAGCGTGGCCGGCGCCGCCCAAGTCCTTGTAGGTCAGCCACTTGATACCGTCAAGACACGCGCACAGATCGCTCCCAGTCAGTTAATCGTTCGTGATTAAATGTCTAATACTGAGCCATAAGTCGCAGAGGGAATGTTTGTAAGTGAATACATAGGTTCAGAGTCAGACAGCTCACCGCCAACTTAGAAAGGACCTATGGATGTTCTTGCACAAACTGTTCGGAAGGAGGGTTTCTTTGCGCTGTACAAAGGTTAACATCAGGCATGATGTGTTGCGTTATTCCGAAAACTCATTCTACTCCAGGGATGGCCAGCCCCCTTCTTGGAATCGCTGGGGTCAACTCCTTGTTGTTTGCCTCATACGTGTACTCTAAACGCGTCGTTTCACCATTCCCACAGCTGTCCCTGAAGGAGATCGCCATCGCAGGCGCAATGGCTGGAGCTGCAAATGCTATTCTTGCCAGTCCAGGTTTGTTGTACCATTCGCTTTCGCGACTCAAGCCCTTTAACACTTCGTCATCTAGTCGAGATGTTTAAAGTTCGCATGCAAGGTCAATATGGTGCTGCCACCGATAAGAAGCTGAGAGATGTCGCAAAGGAAATGTGGAGAGACTGGGGCTTTCGGAATGGTGTCATGAGAGGCTACTGGGTATCCACAAATATCATGTTCTTGTAGGAAATATGGCTGACCAGTGTTTCAGGTTACAGTTGCGAGAGAGATACCAGCATATGCAGGGTATTTCATCCTCATTGATATTGGCAAGGAGTTCTGATATTGAGAGGGTGATCCAGATTCTATACAGGTAACGATCTCGGCGTTCGTGGGCACCTCCTTGTCTAACTTCATGTAGCGTTTGAATTTTCGAAGCGAAAGTTTCAGAGTCAGTATGGGGATAAAGTCCCTGTTTGGGCCCTTCTTGCTAGTGGTTCAACTGGCGGGGTATGTCACACGACCTGATTACTTTACAATATCTTGACATTCTGCAGATTGCATACTGGTTATCCTGCTACCCATTAGGCAAGTTACGGAGCGCAGTTGACGAGGGTCTGACTTATATTGACCTCTCGGTAGACGTGATAAAGTCTCGCATCCAGTTGCGCCAGACACCACCGACTGGCAAGCCCTGGAAATATATGGCCAATGAAATCAGGATGGTTATTGCCGAATCAGGATTGTAAGACTGCACCCTCCTGGTATTTGCATTTCCTTTGACCAACACGCTGCTAGAACGGGACTTTTCCGCGGTCTGTCGCCATCACGTAAGTGGAACCAATTGTTTAATGTGCACATCGCGGGACTCATGATGATGGTTCATGTATCACATCAGTGCTAAGAACGTCAGGGTGATCTTGTTTCTATACGTTTTGAGATACTCACAGCTTCACCAGCATACCCGCTGGAGCAAGCACATTTGCGGCATTTGAGTTAACTCGAGGTGAGTCGAAAGCTTTCGATCACGGAATGCACTATTGATGACTCCTCAGAATTTCTCACAGAGTCCACAGGGGCGTAAGGTCAAGATACATTTGGAGCAGACGTACAAGATGCTAGTGAAATATTACTAATACAATGATCCCTCGGAAACATGAATGCCTGGCGTGCGATTCAAGATGAGGTGAATACCTCGTTGGATAGCTTGCAGCACTGACTAGGCTGCTTCGACCACTTGGTCGAATACGACAGCGGCTGGTGACCTATCCAATATCCGTGCATTAGTGTCATAAGTCAAAGGAGTGCGTTCCTTACCTTCGTTCAATCCCCTAAACATTGCACGTGCATCAATATCACACCTTGGCGCAAGATCACGAGAGTCACTTACGTCCTCTTTCCAACAAAGTTGCGCCTGGAGTTCCGTCAGGCCAAACATGAGGATGATACTAAACTCTTGGCGATAGAACTGCAGCCCAGCATAACCCCGTCGTGGGCTGATGGTGCGTGCCACTTTCGAGGTGTCCGCATGGACATTGCACAAGGTTGAGAACATGCCTGAGCCCCATGAGGATCAGCGATGCGCGGCATTTGGAAAGTATTTACACGCACCTGGTTCTAAATCTGTCCATCGTGGACTGGGGCTGTCACCTCTGTAGCATATAACCTCCGTGGTAATCATATTGCATGCAGAACGGTCTACTACCTCCGTAATGAAGCTCTTGCTGAACTCCTTCGTCTCGGATACAGCAGTGCCCTGCAATGTGCGTATCAGTGATACTTCCTATGCATAACATGCGATAACAAGTCTTCACCTTAGTCAGAATGGCGCTGAATGCATTAGGCAGGACGGTCCTGCCTGATGGGCGTGGGACGGCCATACTGGCACGCAGCTTGTGTTGAGGATCGTTCCTGTCGAATTGTGTCGCACAGCGTGTACCATACGTGAACTTGGCGACACGTGCAGAGACACGATGATCTAGGAAAAACGCCACGGCGCCATCCGCGACCGCCTTAGCCCTACAGATAGTCCAGTTCACTGGTCACCTTGGTGAGCTTCCTTCTGGAAAAGGACTACGCACGTGTGGCTGTCAGGCCGACAAAAATCGAGCCCCAATGGTCTCAGATGGTTCTGTAGTTTCATGAAGAGCCAATCACTAGCTGCGAAACCACCGACGAGGAAAACGGTCTGAGGTTTATTCAGTTAAGTGGAACGGGGAAAGGAAAGGATCTAACGCTGATAGTTCGGGCTGCAGCATGGCGCTGCTCCTCGATAGCTTCGATTATAGCCGCTGCAGACGGCTCAAATAACGCTGCTACATCGGACCTGAGGGCAAATGAGGATATTTGGATCGATAGGCAATTGGTATCCTGACCCCATTAACTTCAACTGCCCAGATCTGATGTTGAAATTAGGGTCCTTGTCCCTAATCGTACCAAATTTGATGTATGCCGGGTCGTCCTCGTTGCTAAATCGTTGCTTTGTTGTTGAGTCGAAAATGGTAGCCATATGAGAAATCATATCTTCGCTTCCGTACTGTGATGATCCACGGAGTTTCTCTGCAGCCCATAAGCAAATATACACACTTCAGGACAACCCTACAAGAATACCTCGGAGCATTGCCTTGGCCCTACGGCTCACGAAGATGGATCCTTGTAAGCGACCTAGGAAATTTTGTTAGAATGATCAACATGACTAGCTGTGTTAATCAGACTTACACTCTGCAGGTGCGATCTCCTCGAAGGATGGTAATGTTGTCATATGATATGCACTGACATCGATCGTTCCTCCACCAGCGTCGACAATAATCACGCCCTGGTCGCCCTGAAAATTCCGGTAAGCTCTTGCCTAGATAGCCCATCTCAAGTCTCACCTGAAACCCGTCGGCAGCGAGACCACTACCAAGGCAATAGTGAAGACTCGCCTCGCCCTCTGTGACGAGGTGGATTCTTGTCCGGCCTTCTGGCGTATCGGGTACAAGCCCCGCCATGATCGCTGCATTGCGGATCTGCGTCTGCTGCGGCCCCTCCCATCCATTTGGGTGGCTAAGCACAAACTCGATTGTGTGCTCAACAGAGCGTAGCATGTCTGCGCCGTTTGAATGCGACTCCTCGATGTACTTCCTAGCGCACTGATACAGGTAGTGCATGAAGTCAGCGAGGACTTGGACGGCAGTCTTGTTCTGCGGGAGGGCTGGGATGTCTTGGTCTGTGACATGAGAGGATGCCATGGTTCTAGGACGAAGATGAAGCTTCCACCTTTGTGCGAATGAAGGTTAGTAAACTGTGCCAGGACTGGTGGATTGTGAAAACCAACCATTCCAGCTTCACCCATCCGTCATCTTCAATTTTCTCTTCGATATATTCTTGTGTTGCTTCGGCTCCTACGGCGCACACAGTGCCATCTGGGTCGTAGCATATGATGGACGGTATTTTACAATCCCCTCCGACGTTTTCTTGGGATGGGAATCTATGTCCGAGTAAGTAACTAATGGTGCAACCCTTGAAGAAGTTATCGCACCTATTTACGCCTTGGATGACAGGAACTTGCCCAGGATCGAGGAAGCAGTAAGAGACACCACTGAATGTCGTCCCGACATCAAACGCGAAAACAAGTTTGCGACATGAGCCAGTAAATTCTTGTCGAGGTGGCATGTTTTAGTTGCGTAAGATACGGCGGATAGGTCACATCTATTATAAACAATCCTCGATGAGGTACACGAGGCGGCGTGACCCTCGTTCCCTCGTCAATGAATGAACACATGTTTTGTGGCATGTATGATGGATTCAAGGTTTGATCAGCGCCCTCTGTAGGCACACAGGAGATGGAGAACTTCTAGTATAACCCTCGTGAATCTCGTATATCACATTGTGCAAAAGGTGAAATAAATGACATGCTTGGCAATTCGAAAGCAAACCCATAGATAGGAGCGTACAATTACAACCTCGAGAAGCCACAGGATTCTGCGGACTCACTGCACAGCACGAAAGTGAGGTAACTCAACCGAACGATTAGGCTAGGCTTCTTCCTGCTCATCGTCATAAACTACTACTGCCGGAGTTCTGTGAATGGAAATCAGAACCATGAGAGGAAGATGTCACGATGTGAACTTACCGTATTTCCTCCCCCTGAAATGCACAGGTTAAGCTAGTGATATCACCAGAAAACCGATGTGACTTACCCCATCTTCCCAGCCGATCACAGCCTTCAACTCTGTCAACCCGAAGAGAAGAATGACTTTGACCTCCATCGCATAATACGTGGAGCCTTCGGCAGAGCGCTTGAGTGTTAGTTTCTCGGCAATTTTCGATGTGTCTGCGTGGACGGTGCATAACGTGGAGAATAAGCCTAGCTCATCCGATAAACATCAGTGTGATTGGTAACAATGTGTGCGACTACTTCGCTCCGTGT